TCATGAATTGTGTTTGATAATTGATTAAAGGCTGATCCATCTTCGCTGTTCTATTATTATGGAATGAACGTAAATAGCTTTGGCACAAAAAGAGAAGCTATAATTAAGATAGAACTAGTACTCTGTTTAATTGAGCTTCTTTTTTTTTTCCAGTTAATGTTTTAGTCACTCAGAGACTTTGTGTGATACTCAGTTTATTCTGCCTCGGGTTGGAGCTTGAAAGAACATTGATTTCTTTCCTTTGCAAGTGGTCCCCAAAAGTGATACACAGCAATTAAACAAGAGTCCGCTCGACAGACCTGACAAAACCATTTGAGAAATGACACTGGAGAGCATCCCGCTGGCTTTGTCTTAATGTAAGCAGGGGTTTAGATATTGCATTTTGTACTGACACACATCAGGGCATCATTAAGTGAGCTCACCTCTTGCCCTGTAAACACTTTATCTGTGGAATTCTCTGATTCCATTTCAGGAACAATGTCTGGTCTCAGACTTGGAGCTAACATCACTCCTCCAATTCTCTGGCCTGTCTAGATCTGCCGGACTTGACACATTGATATTGTCAGTGAGGAATGCTCAAGATCACCTGCAAGCTCAAGGCATTATGGTTGTCTCTGCTCAAAAACATGCCTCTGCTAAAAGAACATGATTTTGGAATAGTGCTTTTTCTTCATAGAGGGATCTTTCCTGAACTTTGGATCATAAGAATTATCACCGTGGTGACTAAAAAACGGATAAAAATGAAATTGGAAACAGTTCAGAGAAGTATATCAATATGAATGGCTTCCAAAAATAAGCACCAGTAGATGAATACTTAACATAAAAATGCTTTAACGCACTGACACAATCAAAACTGATGAGCCAGTGGAACTCGCTCCATCTTGCAGTTTATTACTGCTAAACAGATTTATTAATTTCAAATTTTACACATCATATCATGCTTTGTCGATTACTTTTACAAGAAGTAGTGAGACTGGACTGTAAAATGCATGCTCTCTGGCTCCCAAAATGAATGTGCTTTAGTGATAAGGACCGGCTGAGAGGACAGGAGATACGGCACAATGCAGCGGCACATCTTCCAGCTCGAGCTGTTTCACTGTGCAGTAGTCTGCGTTATATAATTCTGATGGGGTTCGCTGGCACCTCACAGTTCACCTATCGCCTCTAAAGTGTGAACACAGGACCGCCTCTCCTTACTTGCAGACATGCCCCATAAGAGCAGAGTGTCAAATTACATCCAACAAACAGCCCCACACTTGATGTTTGTTTGGCGCATGGGAAATACATGTTACTCCCCTGATTAATGCTGAATCATGATATTGAGATAAGAGCGGAGGGTGGAGTGCACCAGCACACACCAGCCTCCAACTCTTCACCCTCACCCTACCCCCTTTTCACGGAAACAGCTCCCTGCCATCTGTCAGTATTGGAAAGCCCTGGCAGCTTGCAGCAGGTTTTTCCAAACCTGCATACATGGCTGCCTTTCCCTGTCAGAGACTCTGCTGTGCATGAACCTTCAACCGTATCCAGCCACTGGGCTAGAAAACGGTGTCAGCCTAGCCAAAGCCTCATTGACACCCATGAAAAATCTCTCTTAGTAGTGTTATTGACCCAGGACATAATCAGATGGTGGGCTGTACATTGGGCAGAAAGGGACAGAGTAAAGTTAAAAAAGCATTACAGCCAGTGAAGCCACTGTCACGTAATTGGACGCTGTTTACCTAAGTGTTATTTAATTGCCTGACTCCTCTCTGAATCTTTAGTGCAACTCTGTGCTGTAAACAAACATACATACCACAGCTTTGGCAGTGTCTCCTTATTAGTTATTCATGGCTTCATTTGCTTCATATCTCTCCTCAATGCTGAAAGCAAACAAAAAAGTACATCCTCAGCTGGAACCTGTGAGTAGAGGTGGTTCCTGTGCTGCCTGTGAGAAGGAGCAAGCTTCCCGTCATGAAAAATCACTTCAATGAAGCGAACAGAGCTCAAACCGAACAGAGAGGATGTCTTATCATGAACAAATAACAAACTATGTGTGAAGAGATGGCTTTTTCGTGTAATATCAAACTACAGGCCTGTGTGTAGAATATTCTGAATTATACTGATGAAGGTCCAAAAGTCATTTCCTTTAACAGCAAGAGGCTGAATAATAAAACATGCCTCTCTCGCATCTGATACATTATCCTTGCTGGCCTCTAGTCCTAATAAACCTTGTGTGGGGCTCATAAATCAAGTACATGTCTCCCTAACAGATACATGATGATTAAAACAACGTATGATTAAAAAATCTTGTCCAGTTCATCTCTGTTGTATTCAATTAAATAAACCCATCTTGTCCAAGACATAAGGGACAAGCCTCAGAAACGTCATTTCACCACTGTCAAGCAGGCAAAAGGAACAGAAAAGAAAGTAAATGACTCTAGTTGAGACACCAAAATGGCTACTGGTGTGGCCTCAGGGTCACGGACCAGCTGTGACAGCGACCTCCAAGGGTCTTTGACTTTGACCGACAACAGATTGGGTGGACAAGGGCAATTCTAGAGCAGCCAAAGCTCTGCTTCAATTGGAGCAGTTGTTAAGTATTATCACATGAGAAGTAAGTTCAACTTGCAGGCTTTGCCTCGTCTTCATTAACGGCATTTACATCCCAGCAACATATGGCGTGCTACTTCCTGCACGTTGGCTACTCTGATATTTAAAGTTGTAACATCTTTTCATCTGGATTTATTAAATATTTTGTGTCTGTGTCTTCCTAGTGGCTCTGTTGTTGCAAGGTCGAATTTGACTGATAGTTTTCTTCAAAATATTTTTTATAATTTATCACTTGCAATAATATTTACTGATTGGATCCTGTGAAATGTCAAGCTGTCAGCTGACTAAAGGACGTGAACTTCAGATAATTAGAGCTTCTTTTTTTTTTCCTGTAATGCACAAATAGAGGTTTGTAAATTGTCTCCACATTTCTTACGTCAATGATTTCAGCACTGGTAGTATCACATGAGATGTGAATCATTTACTTTCTTTTCTGTTCCTTTTGCCTGTTTTTGACAGCAGTGAAGTGACATTGCTGAGGCTCATCCCTTATGTCTTGGACAAGATGGGTTTATTTAATTGAGTACAATGGAGATGAACTGAACACGATTGTTTAATCATACATTGTTTTAATCATCATGTATCTGTTAGGAAGACATGTACTTGATTTATGAGAACCATAAGCGGACTTTCTCCCTGTTCTCCATTTGAAGCTGTTCTGTGAGAGATTGGTGCTTTACAAGACTTTTAATATCAATGCTACTGGCAGACACTTCCAACTAGTGGATAGTTCACCAGCAATTCATTTTTCTATCACTTGACACATACTATCAAAGATCATAAGGATCTGTAAGAATCAACATTTTTATTTTAGAACTAATTTTGTGACCTATTTTTGTGTGCATGTTTGGTAGCATGCAACACACAAAACAATTATATGGAAACAACATAACTCATTTATACTGTACTGAAGCAAGTGTCCTAAAAGCTTGTTCTCATATATACAGTGAATTTGATGAATGTATAAATATTACTACACATTGTAAGTATAAATGTAAGTATGTTTTTTGTGACAGTCAAGAAAGAGCAGAATCTGCAAAACTCTCGTAATACATATTTATCAAAATTGAATCATATTTACCCCTGCTTCATATGATTCAAATGAATATTATAAAATACATTGTATCAGAAAATTTTCATGTGAAATTCAGAGAAGCACATGTGAACATTCACTCTGAGCCCAATTGAAGCGACTTTTTTTCATAACCTTACACAGGTCTGATCTAGATGAACCAGCAAAATCATTGGGAGCCTGTGAGCAGATGACAAAGTCCTAAATAAAACAGGAGGGTCTGTGAACATGTGCAGTGTTAAACGTTGACATTCACTGCCATCTAGTGGTGGTGATACTGACATTGTAAGAAGACAAGTGACAACTAGTGAATTCAGTTTAGGATTTTAAACTGCTAAATTTGGATTCTGAATTTGTGAGAGAGGGACATCGTGGGTAGAGTCAACAAAACTTCTTTTACAATAGATCTTTAATCACACATGAGTTCAAATACTGTCACCTGGACATCCACTCTCACCATTACAATATCTTTCATCTTTTAGTATTTAAAGGTATAGGTTGAACAGTGTAAACAACAAAGTGAAGGCTACATTTAATTTTATTAATATTAACAATTTACCCCTGAGTCTATGAACCTGCATTTCCTCTTTTTACAAGATACACAATAGAAGGATCTGTGCAAGGTAGAATTTATTGTCATTCTCTCCATATATAATATTCAGTATACAGGGGAATGAAACTGTGTTTACTCAATAAGAACAATTAAAATGAATAAATAGGTAAATAAATGCTCTGCTTTTCAAGTATGTGAAAAAGGGGGTTAATCCCAAACAAATTATAATAGGCTATACCTATAGGGATGTTACGTCTGTGTGGTATTCAAGAGCAAATATTTAGCCACATTGTAACTGTAGCCTATAGCCTATGATCTTGTAGGTATGTTTACTGTAATATTTGCATTACAGTAATAACAGTAATAACTGTTAACTTTTGATGATAAAATTCAAAAACTGACGGGACCCTGTAAGTTTAACACTATTACCTTTGTATGAAACTATAATTCCCGATTATAATACTTTATTTTCATTGTATAACGTTTCTCAAGAGAAAATAGGTTTGTCCTTTGTCAGTGTTACATTCATGTGCTTTCGGGAATATCGAATATTACATAAAACCTCATTTGTTCAGGTTATGTAGGCTAGACAATAATACGTGTGTTCTTACACTGTACAAAGTGGTTTTGTCGATCAAAAAGCTACCTGGTAAAATAGTGGACAGAACAGAATATGTCACAAACCTCATGTCCAAATTACGAGCAGAGACAGGGTGAGGGTTTAGAGCTACCAAAAGCCCCTGAAGGCAGCAGTGGAGGGAGGCGGTGTTGCTGAGCTGAACGCAGTGAGCACACCCTGCCAGCGAGCCACTCAGTGTTAACAGGCACAAAAATGTCAGGGAAGAGTTTTCGAGTCAGCGACGGGGACTGGATTTGTCCTGATAAAAAGTAAGTGCTCCTCACGCATAGAACAAGGTCCCATTTTACGTCCCATGTGGTTCAATTTGGCCGAGGTCGTCTGTTTAATTTTGCGGTCGTGCTAACAGTCAAACATTAGTTAGCTTCGGCCTTCTAGCATTTGGTTCACGCTAACGTTGACTAGCAGAGTAAACTAGCTAACATTTACCTTATGTTCTACTATTTAGCTACACTATCATCAGAATAAACACGATATGTCAATTGTACATTTTAATGTTGGGACTTGTCTCGGATTTTCGGGTCAAGGAGTTTCAATGTAAGTTGTCGGTGTGCGGAGACTTTCAAGATAGCAAGCTAGCTGTCGTTATCTTGTGTGGGTTGGGGTGATAGTCTCCACTTACTATTGTGGGTGGTGTTTACTATGTTGTAGAAGCCAAGTTGTCATGAGGGTTGCTTTAAGCTAGAGTCAGCAATATCATGTTGCAAATGGTCTGCATTTAAACCGTGACCAGACAGACAAGCCAGCTGCAGTCGGCAGTGCGCAGGCCTTTGACACAGCGTGTCCAATGAAAGACTGCTAGCTAATGGTGTGGCACATGAAAAATAAATAAACCAACACAACTCATTTGGCGATCGTTGCTTGAAGCACACTCAGCGTGTGCCTCAGAGATTAAGTAACAAGCTCAAGCCTTATTTTATGTGCTTTTGCAGGTGTGGAAACGTGAACTTTGCTAGAAGAACTAGTTGTAACAGATGTGGCAGGGGTGAGTCATTCTTGCAAATTATTATATCTTGCAGAATACGTTTACTATAACTCTACTATAAAACATTGTTTTGTGTCCACAGAGAAAACCACAGAGGCAAAGATGATGAAAGCAGGAGGAACAGAGATTGGGAAAACCTTGGCTGAGAAAAGTAGAGGCCTCTTCAGTGCAAATGACTGGCAGTGCAAAACGTATGTATATATTGTAAATACCAGTACAGGTTGTCATCATCAAACACGTACTTGTTATAATTATCAATAAGTGAATACATTTTCAGTTCCACCGGTGCTGATATAAAGTCTGAGAGGTTAGATGATGCCATTTTTTCCCTTCTTGTTTTCATTAAGATGCGGCAATGTGAACTGGGCAAGGCGGTCGGAGTGCAACATGTGTAACACACCTAAATATGCTAAGCTTGAAGAGAGAACAGGTAACGCATCAAATATATTATTAGTCGATTCTTTTCGTGCTTTTGAATACTAGTACTTGACTTGTTTTTTATCTCATGTGTTCGCAGGTTATGGAGGAGGTTTCAATGAAAGGGAAAATGTAGAATACATTGAACGAGAGGAATCTGATGGTGAATATGATGAGGTGAGCTAACTGGTACTGAATCATCAATCAAGTGAAATGTTTGATTATTGAAACACTTAAGACAAGTTAGCATTTGTAGGTGTAATTTTTACTGATTATAGAATATGTTCTCTTGTTAATATTGCAGTTTGGTAGGAAAAAGAAAAAGTATCGTGGGAAGACCAACAGCACATCTTCCTCAAAAGAAAGTGAAAAGAAAGAAGTAGCAAAAGAAGAAGATGATGAGGAAGAGGAAGACGATGAAGACGATGAAGATGGTGACCTCTCCAAGTACAAACTGGATGTAAGAATAATGGCTGGAGCTGGGAATTCAAAAAAACAAATGTTATGAATAAAACACTAGCCAATATGTATGTATTATTAAAAACACCTTCTCTCCAGGATGATGATGACGACGATGAAGACGACGGAGACCTGTCAAAGTATGACCTCAACGCCAGTGATGAAGATGACAAGCCAGCCAAGAAAAAGGGCAGCCGCTCGGGATCATCCCGTTCCCGCTCATCCTCGCGCTCCTCCAGCTCCAGTTCACGGTCGAGGTCCAGGTAAAAGGGTACAGGTCAAGGGTAACTCCGGGCAAAATGTCAGTATCAGCTCAATCTTCCTTCTGATTTACTGATCAACATCCATTAAATGTCCTGTTCTGATGATTTGTTGTTTTCCCTCTTCTTAACCCCTCCCCCTCTGTGCTGTAAGACAGTGATGTGCAGATGGAATGATATCTCTTGATAACATCTTTTGTGTTGGCTTTTGAAATGTCCATGACTTAAGATGGAAGGAATGTATTGTTTATGCTGTAGCCTTTTATCTTAAAAAGCTCACCAAGATTTCCTTTCGCAATTGTTATCTATTGATTCACTTGCTCCAGTCTTAATGGAATTGTTGACTACAGGTTTTAGTCATCTCTCTATTTCTCAATACAGTAAAGCAAGACTGTGCAGTGCAGTTAAATGTTTTGCCTGTGCTTTGACACATAAACCTCGTATGTAGCAACGTTTTTGTGTGGAAAATATTGGAAAGGTTCTGTTTTTTTGTCTTTCAGGTCCCGCTCTAGAAGCTCATCCAGTTCCAGATCTGGATCTCGCTCGAGGTCCCACTCCAGGTGAATGAGGTGACATGCACTCTCTCCCTTTAGAGAGTGTATGTATGGGGCTGTAAGCTCCACAACAGTCCTACTCACTAGTTACTGCTTATCCCACTCTGATTCCTTTTTCTTAATCTGCTGATAGTAATTTTGGTCTTGAGGCAAACTCATAAACTGCCATGACGGTTTTCAATCTGTTGACATAGGTTTGTTTAGAATTGGGCCGAAGTAAAAATAAAACGCAGTCTTGGATTGAGTTTAAATGTTACCAAGGCATCTGGGGTCTTCATCAAGCATCTCTCAGCAGTGGAGTTGGCTTTGCCTGCTCGGTTAGTGTCAGTATATTCATAAGAAGCTAAATATTAGCCTTACAGCATCTTTGGTAAAGTTTTCTCCATACCATAAGTCAGTGCTGTTATTCAGAGAAGCTTGATAAATACCCATCCTGGTGAAGCTTTTGCCTGGACCTTACTGACCTCGGTGCTTGGTTTATTCCTCCAAAAGATCCAGCTCCAGGTCTGGAAAGGGCTCCTCTCCCCGGAAGAGGTCCCGCTCACCTTCCTCCTCACCTGAGAGGAGACAGAAACGCAGTCGCTCCAGGTCCTCATCTGGAGGGAGAAAACGGAGGCGCTCTAGATCACGTTCGTCCGAAAGGTTTGGGTTTCTGTGGAATACCACAATGGCACTGATTATTATTAGCTTACTGTTGCCTCGCTTGTGGGATTTCAGATTTACAGAAATAGGTTCACATTTTCTCATGTTATGTTGTTTTTTCTTTATATATATTTTATGACCTTGTATTTCGTGTATGCATAAGTGAATGTCAATAGCTGAGTCTGCTGACTTTGTTCCTCTTCCCATGGTGTTTGTGTGATTTCAGGCGCCGTGGGCAGTCCTCTGGATCCTCCCATTCTGGCTCCAGTTCAAAAAAGAAATAACTTTATTACAGCCTTTCAAACAAGACAAGGAACCTTAGTACAAGTGCATGTTGTGTTGCAAGGAAAACAACCACATCCATTGAGTATGCTGTTCATTTTCACAGAACCTCCAAAAGTCTTATCTCCCTTAAAAGAGCGGCAGTGTGACTTCTCTCTGCTGTTACCTGTCATTACATGCACCCTTTTAAAACCACACACCCCAAATCTGTGACAAGTGTCTGTAACTGTAGGTGTCCAATAAACATAAATGTTTGGTCCTATAAGAAAATCAGATATACTGTGAAGAGGCTGTATCCAGTTTTAAACCCATTCTGCTTCATATCGTCACAACAGTACATTTTATTCTACTCAACTGGGTAAAATGAAGTAAGGATTTGTGAATCCTTTTTGGCCCTAGGAAACATCTGAGATTGTGTCTTAAAAAGTCTTTGTTTTTTTTTCTTTTTCTTTTATAAATACAGTCTTCATTTTTAAAATAAAAGGTGAAGTACTTAAGCATCAATTTAGAATACCAGAGATGTAGCATTGAATTTTGGCCTGTTTGTTTTTTTCTTTTTGTTTTTTGGTAAATATATATTTTGTTTTATGTTTTCAAGGTAAGTATTTTACTTTTTAATATTGCTTGTTTTAAGTAAATTGCAGTAGGTTCAACATTTTTTGGTGTAATTTTTTTTCTTTACAAGATTGTGGCCTAATTTACCACTCGGTTATTCCTCTTCATTTTTCACTTGGAAAACTAATTTCTTCAATTAATAGTCAGATTTTTGTGCTCCAGAGTAGTGCAACAACAAAAACAATAACAAACATATGTCCCGATTTATAGTAGAATGTGGCAATACAGTCTTTTTAATGGTGAAACAACTAAAATGTACACGTGTAAATAAAATCCTCTCGACATTGCTTGTTAATTGTTTGTGTTTGATTTTCACACGGTAAGGATTGTCTTTAGAGTCCTGTTATATCAAGCGCTGTTCTAATGTTTATGGTGTATATTGGAGATCAGTTTGAGGACATTAAAGTTATATAAAAGAAGATGACTAGATGCCAGTGGTTTAGATTCAATGTGAAGGTGTCACTAACGAGTGACGTTATATAACTGCAATGAAGTTTTTAACAGGCTACCATTTGTTTGGGGTTGTTTTTATATATAAAAAATAATGCTAAAATTAAGCAAAGTGACATTAACTAACCTAACGTTATCGTTACTAGGTAACGTCATCCTTCAGCGTTCGCCAATGAAGCCCTTTTCCCAGTGAGTAAACCAGTTGAGTTCACTTGTCTTTTCTCCCGCATCCAGGCCACGTCAGACCAGATCTAGATATGCACTGGCTAGAATTGTCAAATTTGGACTATAGGTTAACCAGGAGAAGCTAAATATTGTTTTAAAACGCGGATTCATGTTTATGAAACATTCATTGTATTTGTTTTGTAAAAAAAAAAAACATTTTTGCCATTTTTTTGTTTTCACAATACATGAGCGGTTTCACGAATCTGAAACGGTTACTCGTGTCTATTTGTGTTTCTAAATTGCTATCTGAATGACGATAAAATATCGTATGGCAAATTTTGTCTCATCCAGACCTCTAACTAAATATTAAAGTCCTATATAATTTGGCAGAGACTAAGTTGCTACAGGTGAAAATGGACCCATGCTCCACACATTTTAGGCTATTGGTGTCATTCTCATTCTGGTCAACAGGTGGCACTTGTTGCTTCTGCAGACACGTGCCGAACAAAAGGCAGGTTGAATACCTTGGCATGCTCAATTAATAGAGAAGGCAAATAGATAAATGGTATGGTACAGCTGTGTGGTACAAAATGTTAAGGACTGCATTTAAATTGGGCAAAATCAATACTGTTACCGCAACATTTTGTTAAAAATGTACTGCTGATAGTTGTAAACAGCTCAGAAAGGAACAACCCTGCAGTTAGCCTTTTGTCTGTGTTTTGGTAGTTAAAATAAAATGTATATAATCTGATGATTTCTCATAACAGCCTAATTTTTACTGAGTGCAAAAACACAAAAGGTGTTTTATAAAAGAGGATGCGCTTGCAAACCCTAATCATTATTGAAGTAGGCCTCATATGAATTGGCTTAGATGTTTGTCGGCTTGAAACAATTTAATTACATACTTAAATGTGAAAACCCATCGAATGATCATCGGTCGGAGGTAACCTGATGATTTAACACATCCCACCTTTATATAACCCCTCCTAGCTCTGCTCTCATATGCTTAAGGACCATGTGTCCGTACTTTCCCCCGTAAGAGGCGCAGAGTAGGTTGTTTTTTTCCCACTATCTCATCAGATGAGTCCGCCTGTGTGCTCACTTCAAGATTTAAATGATTATCCCTGGCATCTTAACTTATGTGAGTCCGTAGCAGGTGCGTCTGAGAACTTGTTCCACTCATCTAAAGTGTCATAGCCTCTACTTGTGAAGAGGAAGTTAATAAACTAAGATCATCAGTAAGGCAGACATCCTACAAGGTTTGCAGAAATCGGGTTTATGGTTCATTGAAGAGATCTAAAGCATATGCAGACTCAGCTGTTTGCTTCCTCTGGGTGCTTTTCTAAATAGTCCCGCCTCCAGCGCGTAAAGGATCCAACGCGCTTTTACGCACGGCATTCAGTTGGAGCAGTTTGGAGCGTAAGAGGATGCGGGACACTCACATGGCTTACTCGCTGTATATAGGTTGACCCTCTCCGAAAGGATGACTACGGACACTTGTGATTCTCCAGAGGACTTTCAAGCTACTGTTGCAGAGATGCTGGTCCCTAACATCTCCAAGACAATACGCGAAGACAATGTTACCAAAAATTCAAGTTGTGGATTTGTATCAGTTGGTTTCCCTATAACCATGATGATCACTGGCATGGTGGGCAACTCATTAGCTCTTATTCTGGTGTACATCTCTTACAGAAAGAAGGAAAATAAAAGGAAAAAGTCGTTCTTGCTCTGCATTGGATCGCTGGCGTTGACCGACCTGTTTGGACAGCTTTTGACAAGTCCAATAGTAATATCAGTTTACAGAGCTGGTCAGAACTGGGAGCGCATCGACTCAACGGGCCAACTGTGCGCTTTTTTCGGTGTGTGCATGACAACATTTGGCCTGTCCGCTCTCTTCTTGGCCAGTGCCATGGCAATTGAAAGGGCCATGGCGATAACAAATCCCCACTGGTACTCCAATCACATGAAGACGAATGTGACAAAGCAGACTTTGGCTGTCATATTGTTTCTTGTGTTGCTCTTTGCGCTACTGCCCATTGCAGGGGTCGGGAAATACCAACAGCAGTGGCCGGGCACATGGTGCTTTATCAGCACGGGAGACAGAGAAGTCCCGGGCAATATGTTTTTCTCCATCACATTCGCTGTACTTGGGATTTTCTCTCTGCTTATAACAGTTTCCTGCAATGTAGTGACGATCCGGGGCTTAATTATCCGGTGTAAAACAAAGTCTGGCACGTCTCAGTCTTCAAAACAGTGGGAGCGACTCACCACGGAGACAGTCATTCAGCTGTTAGGGATCATGTGCGTCCTGCTTGTATGCTGGTCTCCTCTGTTGGTATGTTTTTATTTCTTTTCCTTCATGCACACAACAGATAGTTCCTGTACTCATTTATATATATTTTATAGTAATGTAAATTGCTCTTACTTTTGCCCCTAACCACACCACAGTTCCCAGTTAGATAAATGCTGTCATGTGTGTTTCCTTTGAAATGCTGCTGCCATTTGCCATTAAGGAGCAATCCACTTAGCCGAGTCCTGTTTGCGGGGTCTGCTCAGTGTACTATGAGGTCATGCGTTGTCAGTCACATATTTAATAGTCCTACCAAGGATATTAATAGAATCCACAGCACTGTGATAGCAGTGATGGCAGAGTGTGAGTGTGAGTACTTAGAGTGTCAACATTATGTTTCTCTCCTGGAAGTGGGTGTATACAAAATCAAAAATGATTATCTCTCAGCTAACAGAATCTAGACTTCTGGAAGGTTTTCTTGGTGGTACATTTAATCAAAAAAAATATAATATCTCCTCATTACATCTGTATGTAATGTGTAAGTTTCTTTAGACCTTGTTTCAGAGTCATAATACAGACATCCGGCATGCCCCTGTTGGTACAAACTCATGCCTGCCTCTCCCTTCAGGTGCTGATGCTGAGGATGATCTCCACCCAGGTGTCCTCCCACGAGTGCAGTTCAAGAACAGTGATGTCCAGTCAAGCCTCCGGCCGGGATGTCCATTTAGACTGTAACTTCTTTCTGACAGCGATCCGCCTGGCCTCCCTCAACCAGATCCTGGACCCGTGGGTCTATCTGCTCTTCAGGGAGATCCTCCTCCGTAAGGTCTGCATTGTGGCTAACGCCGTGTCCAACTGCTCCATAGATGAACGCAAGGAGACTCAGACCGCACTGGATGCTCTTAACAAGCAGAACCAAGAAAGCAACAATCTTCATAAACCACAAAGTAGCTAAGTTGACCTTTGACGGGAATCCCTATCTTGTGGCTGTGAACCCAGGACAGGTTAGAAGGATGGATGCAGTATTGCCTTGGATGTGTTGTTACAAAACACAGAAGGATATTGTGCATTGCGAAACAAGAGTAGTCTCTGTTGCAGTGTTAATGAAAACCAGCCAGTTCTGCTCTGGGTGCATTTGTTTTGCTTCAAACACATTCCATTCAAAGTCACCTAACCAGCATGTGTACGCATGACCGTGTCACCTCTTGCATTTGCCTACGGAGTGGCTGCCAGAAATTCCCTCTTTGCCAGTTTTCTTTTTTGATAACATCTCCCAGACCCAAGCATTGAAAATGGGTGACTCTAAACCGGCTTATATGGAAGTGGTGCATTTCATGCTCTTTTATCTGAGTCATTGCTTTCATCAACTTTAAGAAAAAGGCCAAATAAAGGACAAATGGTTTTTTGTGAATATCTGTAAATAAAAAAAAGGGGAACTGTAAATTGCTGACATTAAGTTAAGAATAGCTTTGACATATCTTACATGAAATGTATCCACTTTGTTTAAAAATGATCTCTGGTCATGCAGAAGAAAAATGCAAATCCTCAACTGGAGCCATTTGTTGATTGTAATTGACTAAATGAGTATTTATTAGTGTGTTGTAGTATTATGAAGTCAGTTGTTTCTGAGCTGAACGCTGATGATGGTCCCTGTTGGGTATCAGTTGTTGTAAATCTTATAATACACTGTACATGGTGTTGCTCAGCTAGCAGCCAGGACTATGAAATGTGAAGCTTTTTAGTTTGTTTTCACTTTCCCTCCTGAATATGAATGCACTGGCAAATTGTTGTTGTGCAATTATTTTCTCAGCAATTTTCCGAGGAACTTCAAGGCCACTCTTATGAACACTAAAGTGTGTGAGGACAGGAATGTAGATCTGTGATGTTTAACACTTTGGTCTGCACATGACAAACGGTCAAAGTGTCATTGAGCAATTGCTGCCAATATCATTGGATTAAAAGCATTCATGATCTGTAAGTACACAATGTGTAGTAACAACAGGACCTAATTTCACAAGCTGGTAACACCTTATTTGGATAGTCTGCTTACAGAGAGTTTACACATCATTCGTAACATTTCAACAGGTTATTAGCTGAGATTCAACAATTCAACCGTTTCACTAACACTGACCATTAAATGTGTTACTAATTGTTGGTTGAATATTTGTATATACAATGTTGAACATTAGTTAAATATTAGGGTGCTCAACAAAGATCAGTGAAATGTTACAAATACTCTGTAACTTTGCTAAGTAGACTATCCAAAATGCATCTAGCCAAATCTTTTTGGAGAAAAAAAAGAGAAAAGATAATTGGTGCAGTGACGAGTCACATCAATTTAAGTTAAGAGAGGGGTGCTCTTTGGATACAAGGCTGATTAGTGGAAAAATAATGGAATACTGAAGGGCATGTCCAGACTTTAAGAGATGAAAAAGCTATCTTGGCACATTTGAAGCTGCCTGTGCAACTGCTACACACAATCTGCTGTGGTTTCACAGCCTTACATCAAGCTTTCAGCAGTGTAAGGTGGTCACAAAAAGCTGCAGGTACGGTATGTTTTAAACCAGCCATATTCATTAATTTCACACTTTTAAATTAATGGTGATCGCCTTGGACGTTTTGAATGCGTCCATCATTTTTCTTCTTATCTGCCAAACAGTGTGCCTGCACCCCTGATGCTACCTCTAAATAGGAGTGAACATTAATGTCTTTTAATGTGTGCAGTGCAATTTCTCAGAGGTCTCAGATGAAGTCAAGATACTTTTTAATGAGTTGGTTTGCTCCCAACCAACTAAATATAATTAACAGAGTGCTGTTGGAAGGAAATGGCAATGCATTCCTTTTACAGTGGTTTAAATACCATCTTTACATCATCTCATTGCTGTATACAGTATGCTGTAAATGTATTCATAAAGGTTGCTCAAGGACAACAGCAGCCAACAATTTTAGACTAACAAACACTCTGCCTTGCCTTGTCTTGCCTTTGCCCTGCAAATGTGAGAATTCACACAAGCTTAGTGAGAATGACCCTATGGGAAATTGTTTTCTGCGAACACCAAGAGAAAGATGAGCATGTTCTGTTTCCACGTATCTGCCAACAGAGAGTGGAGTTTATCTTGTATTGATTGTGAAGCCGGTCTGCCTTAGTAGACCACTCAAAGGATGGATGTTGGTTAGTGAATGAAAACAAAAACATAGAAGGAAATAATACTTTCTGTTGCACAGAAACCAATTATTGATATTATTCATGATTATCCTGGAGTTCATTGTCATCTGTGAATGTGCAGAGACATGTGGCACCTTTCTAGTGAATTTGTGAAAATACTAATGTATTCCTCAACACGTAATCAATTCCATTAACAGCTATTGTGCAGCAGTTAATACTGTATACGCTTCAACAGTAACATCAGGGGTCTTAATTCATTTGCATTTAAAACAATGACTACATTTATTCGCAAGTTGCTGTGGGATATGTCGGGTTTTACGATCGACTCAATCAGCTTCCACTTGAATCTGCGTCATGTAATTATCTCAGTTCTCTACCCAGGAGAGTCTGAAGCTTCCTGCTCCTCAGCAGAGGAAAAGTAATTACACAAATATCCCCTTATAGCTAGTTGGCCCTATATGTGGTTGTGAATTTTCCAGGGTGTTACATCCCGCCCAACCCCCACAGTGGAAAGGAAAACGAGAGAATAATAATTCATTCTTTCTAAATAGAAAACATGATACATTTCAACCCTCCTTAATAGATCCAGTAAAAGCATGCACAGTGCTTACAGGCAGGACTTTCTGTGATTCTGCAGTACAGTTTACTCATATGAAATATGAATGTTCTTGCCACATGGTTACATGAGATTAAAATACCTGCAAACTCCAGTTTACTGATCCACAAGGTGTAATCTTCAAAGACAATTGTAATTAATGTTTGTTGTTGCACATTAATGTCTACGTTACATATGAGCTCCTATAAGAGAGGACACAACAGACACTATCCAAGCTTTCATTGTAAGGACTGTCAAGATTGGTTTGCTCACATGCTTAAATGGCATTCATCTGTATACGGAACAGGCCATTTCAGCAGGCAATTACACACCAGAGTCCTGCACCAGCACAGACGGGGAGGGTACAATTACATAATGATTTGAAAAAAGGCTTTATGAGGCCCAGAGAATCTGCTGTTTCCAGCTGGCTCCATCTCATTCACTCAATTCACTAATGCATGGAAGTGATTTATCGGTTGTCTCATGACCTGAGAAGCCAAATGATGTCTGAGATTAGATTGTTTCTGACAAAAATGTTGTGAAAAAAAATATATATATAAAAAAATCATCTGATATTTTGCGTTTGTGCTCACTTTTCAAACATATGTACACTGAAAAAAATATGGCTTGTTTAAATGTTGGAGATATTTCTGTCAACTTCCTTGGAAATCCTACAGCTTGATGTGTTACTGTTCGTGTGATAATTTGATTGAGGCCATAATAATCATTCTGACCATCTCTGTAACATATATACTGTAACACAAACAGTATACTCTATCATTGTAAAGATGGGGAGAAAAACAAAAGAGCACTTCATTTCTATTGACCCTTCAGACTTTCACAGTTTGTTTTTTACCAGTCTGGTGACAGGTAAAGTCACATTCTATAAAAGACAGATTAGCACAGTTTTCACAAGAGGGTTAAAACAGTGACCAACATGGTTGTTCTGGTTGAAAGACTTGTTACAATGAGCATGTGTCCTTTCAAGAAATAACTGAACAACTAGACAAGATATTTTTAGTTTCTTGTCTCTGCGGTATCAAGAAATCACATACTGGCCCAGCGAGCAGTTCACTGATAAGGCACATGATGATCTTTTGCTGCCAGTCTGAAGCTCCCACCAAGCAGACTTTGCTTGGTGGGAGCTTTATTATTGTAACACAGTTATCCTAAACTTTGTTTCAAAAGCCATTTCCAGAGTTAGATACAGTAAAGGGAAAAACATGTCAGACGTTAAGTGTAAAAAGGGAAGAAGTACCTGACAGGTAAAACAAGCAAAGTGTTGCTCAAGTCAGTTTAAAGAGCATATGATGGTGTCACATATGCATACATAGAATGGAAACAGGTTTGCGCCACCAGCCAAGGCTCCACCGACGAATGTAAATAATATGCTGGATGTCTATCAGACGTCCATCATCTTATCTTTTGTTCACATTATGCCTCTGCTTTTGAATGTTAAACAACACCTCTGTGCACTCTGACTGAAGTCTCTGCCGACTCTGAACTCTGAGACACGATTCTCAGATGAGGGCTATCTCTGCGCTTTCACATGCCTCCTGTTTCTTTGTCTGTGCTCTTCTTCTGTGTGCTGGGGAGGAATGTATTTTTTTCCCCTCATATTTTGATTTATCTGTCATAGATAGGATTACGTAACATAGGCTGTGATGAAGGAGGAAATATCTACCTACCGTTCAAAGTGTCCTTCTGGTACTTTATGTCTTTGTCCTCTTCTTGGCTTGTATCAGTTCAACATGCGACGCACTTTTGATTTATTTTGTTGCCCTGTTCTTGGCTTACGTGGTGGTGTAATATTCTATTAAAGGACCTGAACATATTTTCTCAATATGTGTTGGGCTTTTGTGGCTGTTGAAGCATGTTTTCTTATTAAATATTTATTTATACATCTTCACTATCATACTAATTAATGACTGATGGGGATGGGGCGTACAGTGTTTTTTGTGAGTATTGCGCCTCCTGAGTGACCTGTGGTCAGACTGAGCCAAGCAATATATTTTGAAAAACTGAGGAACACGGATGTGTGGGCGCCCAGTGGTCTAAAACTCATACCACTAAACCACCAAGTCCCCAGTTCATCTAGTCTGGCAAGAGACATTTGTTGCATGTTTCTTCCCATTTTCACAGTCACACGCCACTTGTGCAATAAAGAAAAAAAAAGTATTAAAATAATAATAAATGTGTTTCATTTTTATTTTCAAAAATCTATTATGTGGAAAAAAAAAAAGCCATAAAACTGAAAAAAGACCTAGAAACATTCTTTAAAAAAAAATTATATGCTGAGCCTTGTTTTCTGTCCTGCAATGTTTTGATATACGAGAATAATTTAACTGAGAATGATGTTGTTGATTGTTGAAATGCCACTGGCCATTGCAAAGCATGTGTACGCTCCTATTGTTTGTTGACCTTGTGCAATGTCTTTCCCATGGGCCAATAAAATGGAACAATGTGTTCTATACTCTGTTTAGATAAATCCTTTCAAACATAGGTTTCGTTCAGACTTGTGATGCATGAGCTTTAGCCAAAACAAAGCATTGTTACCTTCCTTAAAACACAATAATGGAGTACTAAAAATGTAGCAAATATTAGTGTCTGTTGCACTCCCACTTCTTTTTGCATTATTCCATTGATTCAAATTTGATGATGATCATAAATCAGTTGTTCTGGTCATTAGGTGGAGCTTAACAAAAAGTTTCTAAAGCTCCCAATAATGTAAGTAATATACCATATCACCAATAGTCCCTCAAACAATAAAGCCTTTATTAGCAGAACTCACCAAGTTCAAAATGTTACTAATACAGTAAAAAAGACAAAGTTTAAAAGAGAAATGCCATTTTAAATGGTGCATCAGCCTGCTCTTGAATTTCAAAATCACTAATTAGGATGAAAAGAAAGCTCTAACTGTATTTTACTGTCAGTAACTTCGACTCTTCTGCAATTGTATGAAATTGTAGTACCTCCTTTTGAGTTTATAATAGAATATTATAGTGTATAAAGCTACAACTACAGACTACAGCCAGTTCATATGAAGCCCAGAGTGTTCAAATGTTTCATCTGCTCAGTAGCAAACAGCACTAATCTGTGTCTCAGTGTCTATGGGTGAACTTATCTAACAGTGAAGCTTTAAAGATGCTTAAAAAGAGACTCTGGTGTGCTTGTTCAATATACCCTTCATAAATAACAAGTAAAGACCTTTCCATTGCTTTAAAGATGACATCTGTGACTGATTTTGAGGCTTTAATTCAATAAGTCATGAATTTTGCAAATCACCTGGCTCAGTTTTGGGCTCTGGACACAATGTAGTCATTTTATTGCTGAGTCAGGGCACTGTCTGCATCTGATAAATTCTAGTGGGCCCATTAAAGTCTTTATCATCCTATCATTCATCACTGTTAAGCTCAGCAGACTGAGGATGTACATTTTTTATGAGGAAAACACTTCTGCATCATGATATATTATCACTTAAGTTATTATCATTATTGTCCTATATTGGTGTTGATATGAATTATAGACATAAAACTTACAACCCTGGAAGTAAGAGCAAAAATGCATATGAACAGTGAAAACAACAACATGAAAACCACAATTATAGTCCCCAGTTGTGTGGAAGCATTACATAATCTTTACTCATGACTACCAGGTGTTTTAAAGAAAAGTAACTTCCGTAAATTTAGAGGTAAAACATGTGGTGGGGTGGCAAGGTAGCACTGTTTCTGCAATTTATATAGTGCAGCTGTGTTCAGTCTCCGCAGCACAGCACATACACAGCTGCATCAGTTTTAGCATTTTTATCTTCACCAACAGGGTGATCGGTTAAATAGAAATATATCGAAAAAGGTGAATCACATTTCTCACTTACTTTTTTATTGTTTGGACTGTGGTCTTGAAGGATATTGGTAGACCACTACTGCTATTGTTTCTTTAATGCTCTCCTTCCATAGACCCTTACGCTAACAGAGATAAATGTCTGTTTACTCTAAATGACATAATTGCTCCTCCAGGGCCTCTCACAGAAGAGCAGAGGCATGACTTTAACCATATTAATCAGGCTGATGATGGATGCCCCTACTTTACCTTGCTCATGCTTTTAATGCATGCTTTAAATGTATGGACAAAGTCTTTGTTCGCAGACTGTGTGCTGTGGGAATAAGGCCAGACAATGATGCTGTGCTTTTGTGCGATGACAAAATAACCTCAGGTCAGGTAAACAAGCTGAGTCAAAAGGTCGCCTGCTGGCTGCAGACAGGATCCAGCAGCGTCCATGTCCCTGAACACAATCACTCAGATTGCTGTGAAAAAGGTTTGGCAGTATGTCCTCAGGCAATGAATCCATTATGGCCCCAGTCAAAGCAGGTTGGGACTGTATATGACGTTGGTGTAGGCATGGATTTTGTTCTGCTGTGATGCTTTTGCTGAATGACAATGAGGATGAAATGGAGAGATAAGTTAAGCTTGTTTACCCACCACAAGAAAGTGGAGATGGAGTTTCCAGTGGGAACAACACTCTTTGATGTATAGACCACCTCATTAATATTTAGTGCTTCATTGCTATATTGTTTTTCTCTCAATCTTTTGTCTGATTTATGTTTTTTGATTAACACTGGGAGAATTGTGGTTAGTCTTCATGAGACCCCTTTCAGTTTCTACCCTGCAGTCTGTCACCATCTCTCTCTGCTGTCCAAACACAAACTAATGAAGCCATAAATCCATCCTCCCACACCTTCTTAGTGATTCCAGTCCTGCAAAAATGCTCACCTATGATCAATAGTTCTCTCATTTTAGAAGTCAAACCTATATCCTGAAAAAAATTCACCCTCAGCTTCAATGATAATGAATGGTAAGATTATACAGTTTATACTGACCATGTTAAATATAAGGACACTTACTTTTCAGGAAGCAGACTGATGTGGAGAATCAATTTAACAATACAGCTTTTATTAAATCTGCACCTCTAACAAATGAGGAGACTGAGATAAAGAGAACAAATTTCAATATGTCAATAGATTTCTGATTTTTTTTACAATCTCTGTTTACAAAACTAATAAGCAGTGGTGAGTGCACTCTGATGTTGGTCAGTGTTGCACTGCTTGAACATCTGGAGGTTTTGCCTCAGGCTGATATTGATTACAGTACAACCTTACATCTGACTTCATACACTCCTGTGGTGGTCTGATATGGAGCCACGTTTACACAATTACAGCATTTAGTTTGGTTTTAGATATAATCCACGCAATAATTAAAACTGTGTGTAAAGGATCCAAGAAAAGCAAATTTCAGATCATTAGAAACAAAGTGGGATATTTAAGAACAACAGATTGAAAATTAGAAATCCAGTATGCTGCAGAAACAGCTGATTGTTTTTGCCAGGTTGCTAGACAACGTGATACATTTGAACAATTTGAGTGGAAAAATAAATGGCATGATACTAACCTGGACTGCATGGTGCAATGGAGAGACCTCATCATAGCCTTGAATTACTTGGCAAGCCGATGCTTTGACTGATTAAAGAGAATATTGTGTACCTTTTTGTGCCTGTTGTCATGGCCGCACTAAAACCTGTACTATATAAATAAACACCATAAAAAGTCATTTGAGTGTCAATAAATTAGAGAATCAATAATGCAAAAGAAGTTATCGCTGTTATTGTAGTTTATATTAAACAGAGGGCCACTAAAATGGTAATAATACATTTCTGATCTTTTCATTTGGTTCAGTGTTCAGGAAGGTAAACATTAAAGGGTACAGTGTGTGTGTGTGTGTGTGTGTGTGTGTGTGTGTGTGTGTGTGTGTGTGTGTGTGTGTGTGTGTGTGTGTGTGTGTGAGAGAGTGTGTGTATGTGTATGTGTTCATTCAGAGTCAAAAGGGGGCACCTTGCAAGGTTATGCTTAAAAGGCTCTGTTTGTCTTTTTTATTAGCTTGTCTATAAAGCTTTTTATGACCTTGTGTCATTTAACAGCAAGATAACAGCGACAACAAACAAACTTGCAATGAAGACATGGCTCATTTGGGATTTTGTTCACCCTCTCGTGTTATTTGTCAATGTTGTATCTAATAGAATTAAGGTAAACACTCTCACTCTGCCGCTATTGAGAAACACAACAGCTAGACTTGAATGCAAAGGCCCTGATTTGTTGCTATGGTGACGCTATGGTTTCTTGTTGATGTTGGTAACTCCTCTCCACAAAGTAAAATTGTCAGTAGTGTTAAGTGAAAACTGAAAGTGTTAAAATTGACTTTTTATTGTGACGTTAAAAAAAATCAAACAAAGACCCCCCCAAAAAAAGAAGAAAATCCTCAGCTGTATTACTGCCACAGCTGGTATGAGAGGCTTGACAGCAGTGTAATGTAATCTGGCACAGGATGGATGTTTAAAGTAGTTGGTAAGTCTGAGCACATGTGTTATATTTTAGCATCTCCTGCTTCACATTTATACAGTTGCATGTGTTCCACTCTGCAAGCTGCCCAGTACAAACAGGCTTTACCACTGACAGTTGAGCTACTGTTCATTGGAGCTGCTGGGGATTTAGCAGATTAGATAGAGGAGATTTTTCTCCACAGTTTTCTTGTGCTCAGGTTTGCAAAAGCTCCTCTGTCAATATATTTCATTGTTCGTATGTGGCAGCTCTGTGCGGTTGTTGCTTTAAACTAAATGGTAATGTCAGACTGCTAACATGCTGTAAAAACTCAGGAAGGGGAGGCTGCATTTTCTGTTTATGCCCCACGCAGGTGGAACAGTTTGCCTGAGGCAGACTGCCCCGTCAGTCAATCTTTTTAAAAATAGGTTAAAAACTTTTCTCTTCTCAACAGCGTTTGATTGAGTGTGTGTGTGTGTGTGTGTGCTTGTCTACTCTGTGCTTTGTATTGTTTGTTATTGTTTTGTTGTATGCTGTAAAGCGCATTGTGTCTGCCTTGTGCATGAAATGCGCTCTATAAATAAAGTTTGAATTGAAATTGAATTGAATTAAAGTAGGTTTAATGTTTGCCCTGTTCACCATCATTAGCATCCTAATATTCATTAATTAGCACTAAAGGCAAAGTCCATGTTAGGACTGTCATTTTTTAAGGTATTGGGGTCATGAATCAAAGTATGAGACAAGTTATAATTTATGATCTGATGATGGCACTACAGGAAAAGTTAGGGGTTCACCAGAGTTATTACAAGT